GATAATGACCGAAGAACTCAAACTCGGCCGCCTACTACTAACACACTCATGCCAATGTGGATGTTTCGCCATTTGAATGAATAATAGGCTTGCTGGCCGGCCGGCTATTCTCGAATAAAATTCTAATGTTTTTTGTTGTGGAGGTCGAAGAAGATACATCGATCACTAATTAACAGTCAATTTACCTCCACTGTAAAGTTTTATTATTATAAAGAATAAAAACAAACAATGTTTCTTCAAACTTGTAATATTCTAAATTCTAATCATATTGAAAGAAAATTTGACATGGCTAACTGTGTACTTGACTTAATTAGGATTACAAAATAGCAATTTGACATAACTACAAGAGATTAACCCCTTCACAATCTGATTACAACAATTTTCAATACCTAATTCATAACCAGATTGGAAATAATAAAGTGATTAATGGACAAATTATTGACATAATGATTGTCAATTTTAAAATCTGGTCCAATTGATTCTTCACTTCCTATTACTGGTGGTCTCATCGTCTTCATATTCACAATCACCACCCTCAAGCGCATGCTGCCTGCAGGAAGTAAAAAGTAACATGGCACTTCATCAAAGATAAACATAAAGAACAAAGAAGCAATTCCAAACCAATGGAGACACTGCTGCAAAGCTCCCAAGGCACCAGAGTTAATGAATATTATGTGATCAACAAATTAAAAAGCTCTTTGGACGAAAGAACCTCTATGAACATGAGGACCTTTCAAATTTTAAATCATTGCCACAACCCTCACACATAGGTTAACTCAAAATGTGACAGAAACTCTGGTGCTCCTTCAAGGTAGTCCAGTTCCTATATTTATATTCCGTTGATTGTGTGTGACATAGATTCTACTAACATTTTCAATGCTATCAAATTTAGATTTCTAGTAGATTTTATCCTAATTTTATGAAGGCAGAAAAACTAATATTACATAAATGTGGAATTAGGCCATGGATAGAAAGGAATACCTCAATCTTTCACAAAGGCGTGCTAAAGCATCTGAACCTGTTCTAGACGCAATGTCCTCAATCTCAGAAGCATTCTTTAGATTCACGCTATCCGCAAGCCTAAATTCACACAACTCCTTCAAGGAACATGCATCAGTCAACACGGCTGAATGGCCACCACCAGCTGCAAGTTTCCGCACTTCCCCCACGCACCTGCAATGCACACTTCAATCAAAATACTAATCAAGATAGCCAAGAAAAACCTGATGAACAATTTATTTGTGCCTTACCAATCAACCGGGGATGGATACCAAGCATAAGTCGATTTCTCATTAGATGCCTGACCGTAGCTATTGTAGCCCCATCCATGAATTCTTCCATCCCTTGTAGAGATAAGTGTGTGGGAGTGTCCACATGTAATGAGTTGTACACTAGTTGGAACAACTAATGCAGGTATATTCCGGAGAAAAGACTCAGACTCATTAGCGTTGCATGAAAAGAATCCAGTGTCAGGGCCAAGGCCTAACTGCCCTGATCGACCACCACCCCAAGCATAAAGAGCTCCCTTCTGAGTCACGGCACATGTATGTACACCACCGCATGCAATATCCTTTATGAATATTCCTTCAAGTGCGACCACTCTCCTAGGCAATAACTCTTTCTCCCCAGACTGGAGGGAACAATGCCCAAGTTGACCCATGTTTCCAAGCCCCCAAGTATACCTGTGAGGGCCAAATAAATTTATTGTGAGGAAGAATTCCGCAAAGAAACTAAAGTTAAACAAAACAAAAAAAGAATAAAGTATGATAACTGTAGCAAGGATCTTTCGGCTGCTACAACCATTGCTGGCTGCATCATGCATAACAAATATAAATTCAGAAATGTACAGTAGCAGAATGCAGCATCCTGTCTCCCTTAAAATGTGAGATTCCCTTACGAAGATTTTGCAAACCTTCTGAGTTAAATGTGCCATGCGGATAACCACAATACTCAAGCTTAAATATAGAACCTAATCTCCATCTAAGAATTCCTTCAGATCACTTACACCTCGCCTTTTTCAGATATAGCTGCAGTGTGGTACTCCCCGCATGACACTTGGGTAATCTTCACAAGCTCAGGGGCATCATCAAGGAACTTCACATAAGCATTTATTATACGAGCCCCCTGTAATCCTTCACATGTAAATCCTCTGCCAAGCTGACCATATTCATTATATCCTGGTGTACCAGCACAGTAATTAATTCTGATTAATTAGAGGCGGGAAAAGACAAACTTCAGTTTTCTATTCATATTGTCAGGTATATGCATCTATCACCAAATTGCAATACAAAAATCAACTCTAACAGATATACCTAGAAGCTGCTTTCAAACGAATAATGATATTATAAGAAACTAATATGCATTTACAAGGGTAGAGGTAGACATAGCATATGATCCTAGAATCACAGTTACCCCAAGCTTGTAGCAGGCCATCCTCTGATAAAGCCATCACATGAACTGCCCCACAAGACACTTGACGGATAATCTGTAAAAAACTTTTTGGTAAGTAACAAGTATTAAATTTGATAACCATCTTCAATGAAGCATTTGATACAACAGGAATTCATCTCTTTCTCTTGTGGGTTTTGGAGTTGTGATCTAAGACTAGTTGTCAAACTTTTAAATGCATTGCCTGCAATGGCAGCAGAGCCTAGTAGCTGTTCAAAGTATTCCCTTGACTTTGATCAACCAGCCCAGCTAATGACAATTGATCAAGGTTTTTAAAATCAATTACTGCCTCAGCTTTTTATTCAGAGAACTTATTTACTTGATAAATGAAAAAGATTTTATCCACAATTGAAACCTGATGAGCTCATCTTACTATCCAAATAATATCATAATTCTAAGACAAAAACTTCTGACCTAAAAAGAATGCATAATCAAGAAGAAGTAAAGCATACCGTGTTTGGAGTGAAGGCGCCCCAAAATAAACGTGGAAAATTTGATCCCTATAATGAGAAATAGGGAAGAAAAAAAGTAAACAAATTACGGTACTATCTGCCAAAAAGGATGAAAACAGGATTGATGCTATAGAAATTCATAGTATGACCTGATTTTGCCCCCAAATCCAAAGCCTTCTTGTTGAGACAGATCCATCATTTTCACGAGGTTCTGCAATAGCAGCAGTACAATGTGCTCCACAAGATACAGATTTCACAAACTCTGTCTGTAATTGCTTCACTTTCTTTGGATGTTTTCTTCGCTCCTCAGTTCCGTCTCCCAATTGACCAAAGTCATTAGCCCCTGGATCAATTGTTTACACATTCAGGTTATCTAATGCTCTCAGCATATGCACATCAACCAACACGATTTTATATGTACTTTGTCAACCACCACAAGCATATGGCTTATTCCTATCACTATAATCAACCACTTCCAAAACGAGAACCGGCAATTTGATTTCACAGGTCTATTAATACAAACCAAAATCACTAACAACCAATATTCAAGACGGTAAACGGTTCATTTCCACCATATGCAATTGATTGAATTCATAAATGGAAAACCAATTCCAAAAGTAAAATGCGACAGACTTATCAACCAAACATGCCTTTGAATTTACTCTTATCACCCTAACCAATTCCAAAACGAGAAAGGTCAATTTGACTTCACAGTTCCATTATCCCATATTCAATGAATTGAATTCAAATTTGGAAACTTTATAATTATAAAACAAGCATACCCCAAGTGAAAAGCGACCCGTCTGAGGCTACAGCGGCTGTGTGCTCGCGGCCACAGGCAATGTCCAGCCATCGCGAATTGGCCCCAGCCGTACATCCAAAAAGCTCGGGCTTGAGCTGCTTCGGGATCCTCAATTGCCGCTCCTTACCATTGCGACCCGTCTGCCCAGACTGGTTATAGCCCCACACGTAAATTGCACTCTTCGTCGGAATGCTCACTGGTCGGTTTCGACCTAATAGTTCATCTATGTCCATTTTCATGTATTGCCTGCCCCTGAGAACGTTTATTGCTTTTAGCTACGAATGTTTGGTATGGAAAAGAATGAAACCAGAAATTGAGCAAATTCTAATTCAATTGAAGCAGAAAGTTGCAAGCTTTATAAGATTGGTTCTTCGTTTGGTTGCAATAGATTGCATTCAGCTACGAATTTGACACGGAAATGAATGAAAACAAAAGTTGAGCAAATTCTGATCCAGTTGAAGCAGAAATTTGCAAGCTTTAAAAGAATGGTTCTTTTGTTTGGTCGCCGAGAAAGGTGAATGAGGCGATGGAGCTCTGTTTGATTGGATTCTAGGCAACCAAACAGAGACACAGAGATGACTGATGAGGAGCAAACCAAATTTCGGGGAAAGAGGGAGAAAATGGACAAGAGTGGATACCTGAAAAGAGTCAAACTCAACGAGGAAGGGAGGAAGGGAGGAAGGGAGAAAGTTAGAAAATAAACTGAAATTATAATTGCCGTTTATCGTTGGTGGAAATGTTCCGCGAAGCTGGGAGACGGAGACGGAGTCGGGTCGGGTTACGTGGTTGAGGCCCACATGCTTCACGCTTAAGAATTTTCTAGAATCCATGCTAAAATTATTTTAATTTTATAAATTTATAGAATTCTTTTTTGGTAAATTTTTTTTTAAGTTATTTGGACAATGGCATTCTGAACTTGAGAAAGGAGAAATGTCTAGTTTCAGTGAATGAAACTTGCACCGCATCAAAAGTAAAAATAAAATCAGTAAACTTTAGATAATTCTAACTTTTTATTTATTTATACAAATGGCATTATACAATTTTTTTCTTTCTATTTTTGTCAAACTTAAGGAGAAATTTCAACGAAGTGACGAATAATAAATTAGTTATTTATTATTCAAATATTCATATCATGAACAAACTACAATACTTATCAAAAGTGTCAAATTTTTTATACAAGCAATATTGACAAAGGAGATCACATTGAGTGGACATATAGAATAGATGTTTTGAAGCCTTAGTTTTTACGTAATTTCACCTGGTTGTGTTGTGTAGATATGTATTTTTACGCTTATGTATGTGTCATTTCAAGCTTAGCTTTGTGGACTTTTTTCTCCGATTTTGAGAGGTACGTGGTAGGTGGTGACGCCTGAACAGAAGAGAGAGAGAGAGAAAAAAAAACAGAAAAGGTGGTATAAGAAAATTGAAAACGTTGAAGAAAACGTTCACAAAGTATCCGTAAGGCCACAACGCGTAGAATTGTCTTCTTCTCTTGTCCAACTCTCCAAGTCGCAGCTTTGATAAACTGACAGACGGGTAAGCAATCAAAGCCTTGTACTTTAGATTCATTTCATTTGTTTCATTAATCTTTGTACGTGTGTTTGTGGGTTGATATTAAAACCATTAATCTTTGTAAGATTATATGAATTGTGAATTGGGTGACCCCTGACATCTGAATTTCAGGGAATTGTATCGAGCACCAATTTCAAGTGTTAATTTTGTGGCAGAAAACACTGCATAAAACTATGGCTGGTGGGTCAGCTGCGAAAAAGCTTATCCAAATTGATATCGTTTCAGATACCGTATGCCCTTGGTGCTTTGTGGGCAAGAAAAATCTTGACAAAGCTTTAGAGGCATCTCGTGATCGATACGACTTTGAGGTTATCTTCTTTCTTGTTCTTGTTTTTGTTGTTGATCTTTGTTGTTGTGTTCTTCCATCTTAAACTCTTGTTGTCACTGTACATAAATTGTTGTTGTTCCATCAATCCTGAACTACTGTCACACTGTACATAAATTGTTGTTCCATCCTAAACTATTGTTAGTGTATAAATTTTTTGCAGGTTAGATGGCATCCATTTCAACTTAATCCTAATGCCCCTAAAGAAGGTGTTGATAAGAAAAGGTATTATGAGGAAAAATTTGGGTCTGGCATGTCTGGACGGATGGAGTCTCGGATGTCAGAGGTATTCGTGTAATTCTATAGATCGTCTATATATAAAAAGTACAACATTAACATATATGCTTACTCTGTCATAGTGTTGTGTGCTATATCAGTGGCCTTGATTTGGTTGCAAGATGTTATCAGGGTCTGTCCAGTTATTCACTATGTCCCCTTTGAAAATTGCAGATTTTCAGAGGCCATGGCCTGGAATATAACCTGTCCGGACTCACGTAAGTCGAAAGGATATTACTTTTTCCTTTTCATTGTTATGCTGACAGTGTAAAATGTAAACAACAGATTGATAATGGAGGGAAGGCCTGGAAAAGGCTTTGCTAAATGATAGTTTATGTGTTAACATTGTGTCAAACATGTACAGGGGGAATACTCTAGATAGCCACAGGCTTATATATTTTGCTGGGCTTCAGGGTCATGAGAAGCAACATGAGCTTGTGGGTGAGCTATTTCTTGGATACTTCACACAGGAAAAATACATTGGGGACAGGTAATTAAGCACAGTTTTAGGTCACTTTTTGATGACCTTTATATCTGTTTACCTTAAGGTTGTATATAGTGATTTCTTCTCTTGTATAGTTTATGGCATGTGTTAAATGTAAACCTTCTACTTCTTTTCAAATATCACATGGTATATGAGAGAGTGTGCTTCTGTCTTTTTCTGTAAAACTCACCAGTCAAATGAAAAATGAAAAATTGTCAGTCCACAGTTTGCTGTATTATGTCTCTTCTGAAGTTCTNCTTCTGAAGTTCTGAAGCATCAAGCATGTTGTATTTGTCGATCCTATATGTTGAGAATTGGATGCTATATATGTTCCTGATCAGAGTAACCCAATATATGACACTTCCTTACCCCTTAGATGTAAGGTAAAGAAAGGACGTCAAAACTTATATTTCCTGAAAATGGTTACGGGTAGTTTTAACTTTTATGGAAGAACGGCCTAGAATTAAATGCTTTTACATTCTAAAATCTGAATTAAGAGGCACAAATATTTGCAATTTGGATGCAGGGAATTTCTTTTGGAAAGTGCTAGAAAGATTGGAGTAGAAGGAGCGGCAGAGTTTCTTGAAGACCCCAACAATGGACTCAATGAGGTCTGTTCACTGATTCCTTTGTGTCACTATTTTTGGCCGAGTATTTGAAGATTGGAGTTGAACTGTTGAGCTTACTGATTCAAATCATAAGATTCTGTTTTCTTGCAACCAAATTGAGCATTGTTTAGATTTACTGTGCTCCTTTTCCTAAAACTAGAATTTCTTCTATATCTTTGATAGAACTGACCTTGTTCGTTATGTAAAATGAAGGTCAATGAAGAGCTCAAGAAGTACACAAAAAACATAAATGGAGTCCCACATTTTCTGGTGGGTGATGAAAACTCACATTATGAAAATTGAACTTTTGTTTGATTAGCCCAATTAATAGATCCATTACTAATGAATCATGTGACTGTTTTGGCAGATTAATAATGGAAAGCAGGAACTAAGTGGCGGTCAACCTCCTGAGGTGTTCTTGAGAGCTTTTGAAACTGCCACAAAGTGATGCAGCCTCACATCTAAAAACATTCTCTCCATCTCCAATAAGAATGCAACCTTGAAAACATGTATTGAATGCATATAACTAGTAGTTTTCTTTGTTGAGACACACTGGTTTTTTTCTTTGTTTTGGGTAATGTAACTAATGTTGAGTGTGAATCTTCTCACATGGTGTGAGAGTTGTGATATTGTATATGGTCCAAAAGGTGTGAGCGAGTTAAACAAATAGTTGGGATTTTTTTGGCTGTTGCCTGACAATGCCAATAGTTCTGCGGAGTGTAATGTGCATCAATGGGTTTGCTTATATAACTTGTGCAACTCATGCTGTCACTCGGTCTTTACTTTGTTGGATTTATATATCGTAGACAACGTTATTAAAAAGAATTGCTTGAAATTCATTTTCCAATCTTTACTAATACTATCTCCTTGTTTTCTTTTTCCTTTCAATTAATTGTTGAAATTATGGTCTCTGATCCCAATAATAGTTGAGATCCAACAATACTGTTCCTAAAAATAAAGAAAGACATCCAGCAACATTCATGGTCAAGGTTACATGGGTCGAAACCTAAAACAACAAAAATCCCATTCGTGTTTGAGGTAACATTGAGCCAAGGCTTTGTGGACTTTTTCTATTTTGACTTTGCGCTACGTGGTAGGCGGTAAAGCCTTCAAGTGGGAAAGGGAAAAGAAAATAAAAAAAACAATTGAAAACGTTGAAGGCCACAAGGTATCCGTAACCCTCTCTCCTCCAAGTGGCAGGCAGCCTGCACTCATTTATGGACGTGTAAGTAATGACCTGTAAGCAAACTTTCATGAAACAAAAACATAGAACTTCAAATCCATCTTTACATGCACATTTGGGTTGTCATTAAAACAGTTAATATATATATATATATGATTTGATGAATTTGGTGGCTCTGATGTCATGGTTGCCATATTGGCAGCAATTGTTTAAGTGCCAGTTTCACCATCTAGTTTGAGTGTTAAATATTGTTGGGATACAGTTGCAGAGATGGCTGGAACCAAGAAAAAGTTTGTGGAAATTGATATAATTGCAGACACTGTGTGTCCATGGTGCTTTGTGGGCAAAAGAAACCTTGACAAAGCTCTGGAGGAAGGTAATGATCGATACGAGTTTGAGCTCAGATGGCATCCATTTCAAATTGATCCTGAAGTCCCTAAAGAAGGCACTTACAAGAGAGAGTTTTATGATACAAAGATGGGCGCTGATGTAGCTGATGTGTTCAATACCCGTATGGCAGATGTATGTAATATATACATAAAGTACTTCCCTATCTCAGTTTCATCGCCCCCCTCTTTCTATCTCTCTCCTCATCTGATAGGTGACATGAGGAGAGAAATAGAGAAATGGGGGCAATGAAACGGGGATAGGGAAGTTTTTCTCCTTGATTTGGTTGCGAGTTTTAAGTGGTATTCATTCTTATGTTTCCTTTTCACAATTTGCAGATCTTTTCAAGCCATGACATGACCTATAAGATCGATGGACTCACGTAAGTGCAGACATTGATTTTTCTTTCTTTCATTTTTCAGGCTGATTGTGTGTTTGTGTGTGTAAACAAACAATTTCACATAGAGGGAAAGCATGGAAACAAGGATTTTTTCGGTGGTGGTCTAATGTGTTAAAAAATGTTGTGTAAAACATGTGCAGGGGAAATAGTATTGAGAGTCACAGGCTTATATATTTTGCTGGGCTGCAGGATCGTGATAAGCAGCATGATCTTGTGGATGAGATCTGTCTTGGATATTTCACAGATGGGAGATTCATTGGGGACAGGTAAGATTGCATATGGTTATTCTCTTGTTTAACATGGGGAGGATTGATTAATCTATTCTTAATTTTCAAGCAATGGCCATGGATGCAAAGATATGTTCTGGGTTAAGTACTTTTACATCCTTAATCTAATTTAAAACTTAAAAGAGGCACAAACATTTGCAATTTGGGTGCAGGGATTATCTTCTGGAATGTGCTGAAAAGATTGAAATAGAAGGGGCAGAAGAGTTTCTTGATGACCCCAACAAGGGGCTCACTGAGGTCTGTTCTTCACCAATTCCTTCATGTTTCTATTATTTTCCAAGCCAAGCTAACATGTTGAAGGACAGCAAAAACCAGATAGAGGATTGTGGAATTTTTGTTATGATCCTTTGGTTCCAAAACAGGCCAAATTAAAACTAGAATCCTGCAACAGTCATTCCTTTCTCAGAAATAAACCAAACCCCAAACTTTCTTCTATATATTTTTGAATGGAACTGACCTAGCTCATCATGATACAATGAAGGTCAAGGAAGAGCTTAAGAAGTACTCAGAAGTAAAAGGAATCCCATATTTTGTGGTGGGTGATGAAAACTCACTTCTTTTTTTCTTGTCAAAATTTGGGTTTTGTTTGATTAGCCAAATAAATCCATCACTACTAATCATGTGGTTCTTTTGGCAGATTAATGGAAAGGAAGAGTTTGCTGGTGCCCAACCAACTGAAGTCTTCCTAGCTGCTTTTGAAGCAGCTACAAAATGATACAACTTCACATCTTAAAGCATTCACTCTCTAGCTCCAATAAGAATGCAAACCTTGGAAATATGTTTTAAATGCAGAGTGATTTCCTTTTGTTAAACAATTTTGTATGTTGTGTTATTAGAGTGTAATCGGAATCACTGATTAAGTGAAATCATTTTTGAATATGCGATCTTGATTCACAGTCTAGTGACATATTAGATATCCGGCAAGAGAACATTCATCTCGATACAACCATCCTAATGTGTATCACTTTTTATCCTGCTTTTACATATTTTGTATGGGCAAATATACAGACATATCTCAATCCTTGTGTTATTGAGACAAATAATTAGGACAATGTTGTTCAGTCTTTCCCTTCTAATACGACATTTATAACGTTGTAAAATTTGGGCTCATAGCATATCTTCAAGAGAGACCATGAAGGGGGTGAATGTGCAAAGAAGAGATGAGAGGTGTGAGAGTTTGATGGGTTCTGAGGGAAGTGAAAAATTAACTATAAATCCCTCTCTACAGCATCATTTCCTGCTGTAAAATGAAGATCCATGATTCCTGGTATTGTGCAGTTAAGCATATCTACCGTGAACAAAATGTAGCTGCTGATGCTTTGGCTACCAGAAGTTATACTCTTGAACCTGGTCTCCATGTCTACGATGAGGTTCCTGACTTCCTTGAATTTATTCTTGCTGAGGATGCTAGGGGTGCTGTGAGGCCCCGTTCTTTTGGTTTGTAGTTTGTTTTGTTTGGGCGTTTAGCCCCCTTTTTTACCAAAAAAAAAAAATTAACTATAAATCACTTTTCTACATTACAAAAGGCGATTGCTGTTCAGAGAACATAGCAATGCAAGAACTACCACATAAATTTCTTTTCATAGAAAAATTATATGGAATAAAATGAACTTACAACAATGGTCATCAGAAATGAAGTTTATATGTACTATGATCAATGACAGTTTTTGACATGTGGTATTCACAATGGCATCACTTCTTTAGTATGCTATATCTTCAGCTGTTTTTGGCTTCATCAACGACACAAACCTTTCAATCGTGATTAAGTCGTTTCATCGAATACCATCACCTACAAAAGCCAAACAAATAAAATCCAGAGTCAAAATCCACATTGCAGGAGAAAAGAGTCTTGCTTTAAATTAAACTAATCTTCACTTGAATGTAGATCAGAAAAATTATCAATCCATTAGTTGTAAAATACCAAACGTGTATAGGACTATAGTAAAGACAAAGGAAGAACTATTCCAATAATAATAATAATAACAAAATAACACTAATCTAAAATTTCAAAAATATTGGGACATAAAACTAAAAGCCGAGCCTACCTAAAGATTATCATCACTATAAACAAAATATTAACTAAGAAAACATAAAAAGTAAGAGAATTATTTTTACCTTGCCACAAACAGGGCAGCTTTCACTTCTCTCCATCCACTCATATATACAACCAAGGTGAAAATGATGAGAGCATTTTGTCATTATTTTGGGGTTTTCTGGAGTATATTCTGCACACAAGGGCAACAAAAAAAACATGAGAATTCATATTTCAGACGTTATAAACCATCAAGGTACATTTTCAGAATCATAAACCAATCAAAGTTGCCACAAACGTTACAAATTGACGTAAGTGTTCAAGTCTTATTTCCTAAGCGTGAATGCTGCATCTCACTACCCGACCCTTCCCTCCTAGCTTCAGGTCCAGTTTACTGAAGGGGCACAATATTTTTGGGGGAGCAAAGCAAAGATAACATGAACAGGACAGTTGATTCAATTCAGCAAACAAACATTTGCAATTAACAGAATGAAAACAGGACTGGGTCATCATTCATGTTGAGTAGTGTGAAGTGGAAATGACCATCAGACACACAAGGTGAGAAAGAAGAAGAAACACCAATAAAAATACCTTCAAGACATGTTGGACAGACATCCTCGTCCTCTGATGATATATAAAAGTTCCCAACTACAGTTGTAGCTTTTGCCGATGAGAACTTCATTGAGGACTTGGAACGATGTTCTTTTACTCCATCTTCACAAGCAGACCCATTCCATTTTTCTCCTGTACTCAAACAGTCAGAATCTGCATCAGTATCACTTCTTAGAGGCTCGGCCTCCTCATGAGAATGACTTGAGCCTTTCTCGCGCCTAGAAATCAACCCATCCCGTTGCAAGCGGATGTATCTGGGGTCAGCATCATAAGGCAAGGGCCTTGGAGGAGAACGATACATGTCAGATATAGAGTTGTCTAGTGATGCTGAGGAAGTCATCGATGCAGCCCCCTGAATGGATGACGGGATCGAATGCACTTCTCCTCTTCTGAATAATGATGTATACTACAAAATAAGAGAAGATAAAGGGTTATACTTCCATCGTAAAGTTTAAGTTTTCACGATTAATATTAAATTGTAAGTTATGGAATTAACTCAATCTCTTGCTGAACTGTTTTACAGGCCAAATCTCTTACTCAAAGCGACTGCATGAACCTTTGCTTCCCAGAAGAATATAACCAAATCACTAACCTTTAAAGGAAGACTCATAAGTGCCCACATTCAAACCCCAATCATGCAAACACTTTTTAAAGTTCCAACAGTCAACTTAATAATGAAAACTCTTCACTTAAAATACAGAAAAAACAAGAAATTCTTCTCTCTCATTGTCTCACAACCTATATAAGATACTCTCAATGAAGACTTACAAGACAAAAGCAGACAAGTGAGGGCACAAAAGCAGCACTGTCCCAGCAAAATTACCAATAATAATGCTCTTTGGCATACAGTTCCATAAGATATTAGCAATGAGGTTGAAAAGAAAATTCAATTTCATACATAAAAGCAATCAGCTTGACAGTGTGACAAGAGAAGTAGAACATCAAGATCATCTAACAAACAGGAAACATAGAATTAAGTCCCACATCATAACAACTAAGATGAACGCATTATGCATTCTATATGGCACTTAGGAATTAAAAATGATTTGAAAAAAAAAATGGAACTAGTTCAGTAGCAAGGATGATGAAGGCATACCACATTTACAAAGTTCTCAATAAAGCAACTAAGACAGATACAGTTCCTATATGCAGAACTGTTTGGATTCACGTAGTCTTCAAAATCCTCAGCATTCAAACAACAACAAACAGAACCCATTATGTCAGCTTAAAAATAAACCTCCACAACAGTTCTCCACTCTCATCAGCCGAAACCAATCAAGCTCCACTTGTGCATTAAGCAAAAGATCTCTAGGAGCAATTATTGTACTTTGACAAGTACGAGAGAGGACACAAAGCTCGCAGAAGTCCCACTGCCTCCGCGGACCAGTACCCTCCCTCTTTTATCTAACAATGTTGGACGCCTTTGTGGCTCTGATATAACTTTGGGTTATATTCTTCACCTGTGAAATAGAAGACAGTCACGTGTAAGTTTCAAACAACAATATTGACAAGGGAAAAGGCTAATACTCAAGAGAGTTGTCCTCTAAACAAATTTACTAGAACTAAAGCAGAAAACACATGCACACATGCAATGCGTGTCAACTACTTTAATGGTACAGAGAGATCATAGTTTTGAAGCGATTCAATTATCATTGTCATACTCCCTGGGAAAGATGTAGGCACCTCACCAGTTGCAGCTGTAATACCATGACTCCTATGGAGTTGAATATGTCTTCAAAATATTAAGAGAAACATGAAAAATTTGAGAAAGTAATTGTGATTATGAAGTTTCACAACAGAGATGTTTTAAGATTCAATTTCCCCTCATCCGTTATAAAAGCTAGTAAATTTAAATTTCCCCTTATTCTCACCCTTCCTCCCGAATGGTGGTGAGGAAGAAAGGCATATCAACCAGCATAAAATCCATAGAAATTACTGGTGGTTATCGTAATATGCTACTTTGTTGACAAGCTGCCTAGAGATTGAAGGTCAAGTCAGTCCATTCAAAATTTCCAGAAAATAAAATAACAGAATTGGGAAAGGAAAACATGCAATTATCTCAATTTTAAAGATCAAAAGTAATAGATCAATCTAGAAAAACACATAAATCAATGTAATAAAACAGACCCTTTTGAAAATATCAAATTTTGGATCATCAGAAGGTTCACAAAACAAAACCCTGTTGCAAATATCAAATTTTGCTGCAACCAGAATGTTCAAAGAAAAAAACCCATCATCAGCAAAAACAAATAAATAAAATCTAACCGCTTTGTAGATATCAATTCAATTCTGATGCAATCAGAAGATTCAAAATACTGCAAAAAGCAAATAATTCAAACAATCACATAAGAAAGAGAAAGAAAAGAAAAAGTACCTGAGATAGGTGGGACAAAAGTGGAAGGAGAGAGAGATGGAGATTGTTCTTGGTGGATGGACAAAGACAGGGACGCCGAGGAATCGGAAATTGAGTAGAATTTTGGATTGGATGTTTGGATAAATATATGCTTCGAAAATCGGATACTAAATATGGGGGATTTCGAATTTGCAAATTGATTTCAGCTCTTGGATTTTGCGGTGATAAAAGCTATGAATGCGCGGAATTTTAAAGTCACACTTTAATCTTTCTCCTGACAGTGGGTGGAAGAATCTATCCTATTTTAATTCCATAAACAATCGAATTTAACTTTAATGATGATGTCGCAACCCAATCCCGAACAAAATATATATAAATTATGAGTAATGCTATTCGACACACAATATTGATACACTTAGTTGACACCCGTTGATGTGTTAATGTATCATTCGCTGAACAAAAAACGAGGAGAAAAGAAGATCAAATGATACATTGACATATCAGCAGGTGTCACTAAGTGTGTCAATATTGTGTGTCCAAATAGCATTACTCATAAATTATAAATTCTATATTGACGTTGGCTTTTTATTCGACAAACCCTAATTAAGGATGTTAGTAATTCTATATTTTAAAAAAGAAATTCTTAATGATATTATTATCATATATCAATTTTTTTAGTACAAGTCATAGTCTAAACTACGAGAGTGAGTTCTCGGTACAATTATCATATATCAAATTTTTTTTTTGAGAGTGACGCACACAGGGGATGATTCTTTCCATTCTCCTTCGCGATGTGGATCTCTACTCCCTTGGTTGCTTGATCGACGACTGTAAACCGCTTTTGCATGATAATGCACTTGTCTGTGTTGAGCATCTTTTTCAAGAGACGAATAGTGTGGCTGACCGTTTAGCTCATTACGCTCTATCCTCTTCTGAAGGTGCTCTTGAGTCTGAAAGGATGGAGTCTCCTCTTGTTTGGCTCCTTGATACTCTTATTCAAGATTCTCTTCGATCTTGTGGTCTTGTTGTATTTTTGGCATGTGTGGTACTCTTTCTTACTTCAAGATTTTGTCCCTTGGGGTTTTTCCCAGGAAGGTTTTAATGAGGCCACCTTAGGCATGCATGTGCCGTGTCATCCATTATTCTACTTGAATGCAATTTGATCGCTTTCTTTTCAAAAAACTACAAGGGAGAGGATTTCTCACACACACGCAATTATGATGACGTGAGGATTCAAACATGTGATATTAAATCATCCTTTTTATTAGTTGTGTTAAATCTTGTGTTTAGTTTTATTCTTTCAATATTTCTTGTATAAAAATAAACATAAAAACTTCCTATAGTAACCGTGTGTGTGAGTTTATCCCTCTCTTTCTTAATTTTGACAAAAATAAATATAAAAACTCATCGAAAACCGATGAAAACGACAATGGTATGAAGAATGCTACAGTGCCAATTATGGCAATTTCCCTTTTTAGTAGGGTTGGGGGCAATAGTTCTTGATGACCATAGTGGAACCTATTGTGATGGTCTATAAAAGATGATCAGATTTGATTGTCATGTCGGCCTTGTATGGCATTCTTCCTACAACTAGTATACTGCCGACAGACGGCTGAGAAGGAAGAAAAAACATATTTTTTTTGGTGCAAAAGATATTAAAAAAAACATAAATTAAAAATTAATTTTAATCGCTTGAGCTACAAGTTATTACGAAATCTTTAATTTATGTTTTATACAACAAACCCACTGCAAAATTGGTCATAAATTATACGAATGATAGTTTCAACCAGAAATATTCACAGGAAATAGAAATGGACAAACACAAAACTACCCCCGACAAGCACCAAACACCAAACACCAAACTTTTATTTTTTAATATTTTCAGTTGAGTGTCCCAGCTTAATTAATCTATTTCCAAATCTTCACACATCACCGCATGTCGTTTTGAAGCATTAAACCGGTTAATAAATTGCAGTGCCACCGTACGCTTTGTCGTAAATTCGATTTGAATAAACGACAGAGTTTTCTGGTTGCCTTGCTTGCCTCTTAAGATCAAATTACCGTTGTACAATTTGTATTACTTTGCATTGCATTTCTCAATTTGAATATATTTCTTCGCCGGCGACCTCTCAGATCTAGTTGTTCCTCTCCAATTTTCGCAATTCGAAACCCTAAATTCTCACACTCGGAGCAGACCTCAGTGTCAGTGTTAGGCTTTTGAAGTAGTTTGAGCTCCAATCTCAGTCCGTTAGTGCAGAAATTAGGGTTTTTATTATTCACTGCAGGATGGTGATTTAGTTCCCAAAACTCTTCTCTTTCTGAAGAGACCTAAAAGCCTAGATTTTTTCCAAAATAATGCAGGGCTCGTCGCAGAGCTCTGTGGCTCAGCCGGAAGCCATATTGCAATGGCTTCAGAAGGAAATGGGGTACCGGCCCTTGGGTCCGTACAGTGCTGCTAGCAAATCTCAATTGCCCTCAATCGACTCGCTGAGGAAGATTTGCCGGGGGAATATGATACCCATTTGGAATTTCTTGATTACCCGCGTGAAGTCGGAGAATACGGTGAAGAATATTCGGAGGAATATAACGGTTCATGGCGGCGGCAGCGGTGGCGGCGATAGTGGTGCATTGGTAAAATCGGGGAAGGAGGAGGGCGTAAGGAGTAAAGGAGGTAGGAGAAAGGAGAAGCTTGGGGAGGGTTCGAGTGCGGCAGAAACTAGGGAGGCTGCGCTGCAAGAGAGGGACTTGGCGGCAAAGGAAGTGGAGAAGTTGAGGAACATTGTGAAGAGGCAAAGGAAGGATTTGAAGGCCAGAATGTTGGAGGTTTCAAGGGCAGAGGCCGAACGGAAGAGGATGCTTGATGAACGCTCTAAAAAAAGGTTTGGGCTTTTGTGGATCATTGGCATAATCCTGAGTATATAACTTAATTGAGTTGAAAACTTGTTTTGTTTTCTTTCTGAAAGAAAGTATGCAAAATTCTTTTATGTGATCATCATCGTTATCAGAAAGACATGAACTATAAGACTGGTTTAGAGTGTAGGCGCTATGTTATTCCTCTTTGCAAGGTTTGTTTGAGAATTAGTTTCATAAACTAAAAATGATGTGAACATGTTCTGATGAGACTAACACTTGTTCCGAGTTATTCAAGGTGGACTCTATTGATATATGCTTGATCATAATGCAGGCATAAGCAGGTAATGTTGGATGCTTACTATCAACAGTGTGATGAAGCGGAAAAGATATTTGCAGAGTATCATAAACGTCTTCGTTATTATGTTAATCAAGCAAGGGATGCTCAAAGGTCTGGTGTTGATTCATCTCTTGAATTGGTTAACAGCTTTAGTTCAAACAGTGAAAAGGAAGCTGTTTATTCAACTCTTAAGGGCAGTAAAGCAGCAGATGATGTACTTCTTATTGAAACCACTCGGGAAAGAAACATCCGGAAGGCCTGTGAATCTCTTGCAGCACATATGATTGAAAAGATTCGCAATTCTTTTCCTGCATATGAAGGAAGTGGTGTTCATTTGAATCCTCAATTAGAAACAGCCAAGTTAGGCTTTGATTTTGATGGGGAATTACCTGATGAGGTTAGAGCTGCGATTGTGAATGGGTTAAAGAGTCCTCCTCAATTGCTTCAGGCAATTACTTCATACACATCACGTTTGAAATCTCTAATTTCCAGAGAAATAGAGAAAATTGATGTTAGAGCTGATGCAGAAACTTTAAGGTAAACACTTTCTTATCACTTCTGTTGGGGACATAAAGCTTATTTCATTTTGTCCTTCACATTTCTTATGTGCTGTCAATGTTTCCCTAAGCTTCTACAGACAGGGCTATTCAACTACGATATTCCTTCTTGGTTCTTTAATTTAATATTTCCTGAGTCAATACTTGTGGATAATATGGTCTCCCCTCCCTCTCTTATCAGGAATACTTGCAGTGCTTGATTAAATAATAATTGCATGCTGTATTTTCAAATTTGATCATTCTTGTATTTGAATTCTCATATCTTCTCCATATCCTTGACTCACGTTTCTTCAATTCCTTAATCAGGTACAAGTATGAGAACAACCGAGTTATCGATGTTTCTTCTCCTGATGTGAGTTCACCGTTACACTATCAACTTTATGGTAACGGAAAGATAGGAGTTGATGCACCTTCTAGAGGAACTCAACTTCTTGAACGACAGGTTATGTTCTTTTCTAGATAGTAGCCTTTACATTGATTTTTAATTATGATCTAGTTACTTATGCCATTCATCTTAATATTGATTTTTAATTATGATCTAGTCACTTATGCCATTCATCTTAATATTCTCATTTTTTCACTACATGGATATACATTGGTCTTGCTTTTGCTTTAATGTGTTTTCCCCTATAAAGAATAGTCGGCCGAAACCCTAATTCCATTAAGACCATTCTTTTTTTTATACTGAAGCATAGATTTTTTGGTCAATAAACGAAATCATAGTTGGGTTCTATTTTCGCCCTACATTTTCTGCTTTTGTTTTGTCTTACGAATCATGCATTGTTGCAGGAGTTTAAAATTGTTATTTTGCATATGTTGTTCACAGAAAGCACATGTTCAGCAATTTTTGGCTACTGAAGATGCACTGAACAAAGCTGCAGAAGCTAGGGATCTGTGTCAAAAACTTATAAAACGCTTGCATGGAAATAGTGACGCAGTTTCTTCAGGCACATCACAAAACGTGGGCAGTCTTAGGCAACTTGAGGTAAACCTTTCTTGGATATTAAATGGCTAAATTAGCAATACTTTAGGTGCAAATAGTGCCAATGGTGAGAGGTGTGATTAGTTTCAGTATTTTGATCCTTGTTGATTTGAATGTCATAAAAAGTCATTTAGGTACTCTTTGGTAGCTTATTTCTGGTCTCTAGTTAATTATCATTTGGTGTGTTGTTTTTACCATTCTTCCCTATTCTTTGTGTAGCTGGAGGTTTGGACCAAGGAAAGAGAAGTTGCTGGCTTGAGGGCTAGCTTGAATACGCTGATGTCTGAAATACAACGCTTGAATAAATTATGTGCAGAAAGGAAAGAAGCTGAAGATTCATTGAAAAAGAAGTGGAAAAAGATTGAAGAATTTGATTCCCGCAGATCGGAACTTGAAATCATATACACTGCTCTACTAAAAGTAAACATGGTAAGCTATCTCAGCTTCATTAATGCCTGTAAAACTGCAAGTCACTTCATATAATGGTACTGTATTGGCCATTTCTGGTCATTCCATGAATTTGTCGGCTCATTCTGTTTTGAGTTCCATATGAAAGTTCATATATAT